CGCTTGCCTGGCAAGCACAAAGGCCTGAGTTCAATCCCTGCTTCCACAAAAAAAAAAAAAGAAAAAAAAAAAAAGAAAAAGAAAAAGAAATTGTGCCCACTCTGGGTGAGGAGTGTGTTTGGGGAGTGTGAGCAGAGGCTTCCCTATTCTAGCTCTAGGCTGCTCCAGTCACTAAGTATCCCTCCACCAAATGCCAGGCTGGGTGTGTCCAGTGCCTGACATCAGGTTTCTAGGTGAGGGGGCCTACAAGGGCTCTGCCCTCACCACTCCTCTCTCAATAGACTCCAAGCCCTCTTCAGTTTCATGCTGGCTCTGTCTTCATTTGCTAAAGTATAGCTGCCAGCCAGGCTGAATTCCCACATGACAGGTCAAATTCCCACATTCCCTTACAGGGCTCTGAGTCCTGAGTCCCCCCTCCCCATGGCTTGGCTAAGCTGGCTGTGCCCAGCTGGTCCTGGTGAACCGAAGCACCATCAAGAAGCTTTTTCAGCTCAGCCTTTTGCTGCTGGCCCAGATCTAGCCAACACTAATCTCTGCACCCACCAGCATGTTCCCTTGAGGTTCTCAGACCCCTTGCCCCTTGATTGTATCTGCCCTGCATGTGGGCCGCTATGGGGTTGAGGGGGTAGAGCAACATAGCTAGGGCTCAACCTGCTAGCACCTCCCCCCATCACCCTCCATCCCTGCTGCCCCTGCTCACTTTGAGGGAGTAGGCCAACGCGATAAAGCCCAGGCAGCAGAAGTTGAGGTAGACAAAGTTGAAGATGGACCACAGGTAGTAGTCGTTCACCTCGGTGGTGTCCGGGTAGACCTCGATGACTGTTGTGGGGTTTGTCATGGTCTTCTTCTCGGCTAAGTGCTTGCAGGCCTGGGGGGCACCGGCCGCCCGCACACTGTCGGTCTTGCTGCTTTTGGACTCCATGGGGAACAGAGTGGGAGCCATGGGGGGTGAGGCTGAGGCCTCAGGGGCGGGGGCCACTGGAGCCTGCAAGGCGGGGGGCTTGGACACACAGGCAAAGCAGCCCTTGGGTGAACCTGCTGGGGGCCTTGGGATCCAGAAGGCCCCGTCCAGGGGGACACAGGCTTCCTGGGCGCCGTCCGTGGTGCTGGCCGGGGCTCCCAGCAGGGCTGGGCACTGGCCGTAGCCCTGGGCCTGGAGAAAGGAAGACAATAAGGAGAAGCTGGGCCCTATCTGATCTCAAGGCAGCAGCACTCCCCACTGAAGCCCCATCCAGAGACCCCATCTAAAATGAAGCTCCCCCAGAGGCCGCCAGCTGCTGTCTGCCACCTGCCTCCCCCACCCACTGGCCACTGCCAATGCCAGAGCCCTCCACAGCAGCCTTGGCAGGCACATCTCGGCTTTTCATCACTTTGCCATCTGCGCACCAACACCCACTGACATACACACAACAGCACCCCAAAGGCACCCCAACAGCACTCCCACGGACACACTGTTGCAATACACAGAGCTCCCTGGCACCCCAAACACCCCAGCACGCAGACCTACAAATACACTCCCCAGGTGCCGTCTGGCAGGACAGGCGCTTCTGAAGCCCCTGCCCACGGACAGGCAGACAGCAAACCCCAGTACCACTAGACAGGGTCCCCAACCCCTGGTACACTCAAGCTGACACTTCCAGGTAAACAACTGCCCACTGTGCTACGCACTGGACACGGACAGCGACGCAGGTTCAGACAGTCGCCAGAGGATAAACACAAGTGCCAGTCACCAAACTCTCAAGCATCGCCCCCCCCCCAATTCAGCCGAAATTGGTCTCTGGGACCCCAAGCGCGCACTCTCGCACACGAAGCCACCCACCCCCTAAACAGACGCACAATGACTCTGAAACGAACAGTTCTCCAAAGAGGCACCTAGGTGCCTGCGCTCCGCTCCACTCCGCGCGCGGTGCTCAGGGGTCTGTACCAGGTTCGTCCGCCCCCGCCAGCTCCGCTGCTGCTGCAGCTGCGGGAACTGTGCGTCCTCCCTCACCTACTGGAGACTGCCGCGGGCGGGCCAGACCCCTACGCCTGTGTGCGTGCGTCCTTCCGCCGTCCCGGGCCGTTGTCCGTTCGCCGACCCGCGTCCCGACCGCCCAACCTTGGAGGCGGAGAGCGCGCGGTGCTCTCCACGCTGCTGCCTCCCCCGTTGCCTGCGCCCACTCCGCAGCGCCAGGCCAGCCGCGGCTGCAGCCAGAGCCTGACTCACGGAGGCGGCGGTGGCGGCGGCGCTGGTGGTGGCGGCGGCCGCGGCGGCGCAGACACCTCCGCCTCCTCCGCCAGGAGGGCGGGGGCCTCCGGGACGGCCGGAAGCTGCGACCCTAGGGAGTCGCAGGCCGGGCAGGCTTGGGACCATTGCCATCCTAGCGCTGTGCCACCTCCACCTCCCCGGACCATATAGCCTGACAGTCCAGTTTACCCTGCTCCCACTCTCCCGCGAAGTCCCCTGCCCGGGTAGGAGCGGCTTTCCTGAGCCGTGCCTACCTCCCTTCCCAGTAGAGACGTCCTCCCTCTTGCTTTTCTCCCTTTCCAGAACTGCTGTCTCAAGCGCCCCTCATCCTGTCCCACCACCTCTGGGCCTGTTGAGTCCTACTTGCCACTGCCTCTCTCTGCCTGTCGAGTCCTTGCCCCTGCCGGTGAGATTCCAGTCCTAGTGGAGTGGAAATCTCATTCACTCCCCCTCCCTAGGCCTTGTGCCCCTCAGTCCAGTCTTGGTGCAGTGTGAGCCTCACAAAGCCCCCACCCGCCCATGGAGCCTCCGAGCCTGTCCTCTTTCTATTCCTGCCCTGACCCTGCTCCCAGCCAAGCCTGTTCCCAGCTTAGCTCCTGTCCCTAACCAAAACCCTCTCTGGAGTCTCTGACCCCTCAAAGTCCCCAAAGTTCTCCATCACAGTTCCAGAGTGGTATACCTCATCAAACCAACACACAAGCACCCATTTTTACAGTCCTGTCCCGGCAAATCTCCAGCCCCTATGGCCTCTCCAACCCTTCCCTGCTGAGTCTACCCAGGCCAGGACCTTTGCTAATCTCCCATCTCCCCCGAAGCCCTGCTGGAGCTCCTAGGCACCTGCCTGAGTCGGACCCCCCACACCTAGCCCACACTCGCTAATCTATTCACTCACAAAGGTGGTCTTGGATCCCGTGGTCCTTCACAAGTCAGCCTGTCCCTGCATAGGTGCAGTCAATTCAGAGCCAACATTCTGCTCCAAAGCCCTGGCCCTGGTCCTTTACTGTGACTCTCAATACTGGTAACCTTGGAGTTCAGTCCACGCACCTTCCAGGGGCCCTCTGTGCGCTTCCATGCCACCTGGGTCCTAGCCCTGAGGGTGCTCTATCCTACACCTCACTTCCCCTAACAATGCCAACCTCTCAGCTACAACCTCGCACACTCATGCTCTCTAGAACATTCATTCTCAACTGCCCCCCAGCAGAAAAGTCCTGATGAGTCCTCTTCTCTTTGAAAGAACCCCAGCCTTCCCTCCCTCAACATCCCCCACTATACCATACAGTTGCCGACACTGAGCGGGGTCCTCTTCGCTGGTCTGGTGGCCCTATTGGGCCCAGACCCTGCTCCTAAGCTCCTTGAAGCTGTGCTGATGCCCTCCTCCCTCTCCAGCCTGTCCTCCTGTCCAAGGCCCCATCTTTCCTCCTGGGAAGCCCTCTTCTGGAGTCCTCTCCGTTTGCCTCCAGCATCTCCAGGACCCTCCTTCATTCCTTCTCCCAGCCTCTCTAGGAGCCCATTCTCAAGTGAGTGCTCACCAGGCCCTGTCTCTCTGAACCTTTTCTCTCTGGAACCTCAGGGCTCTCTGAGCCCAGAGCCCTGTCTGAACCCCGGAGTATGAGAAGCCCCGCCCCCTCTAAAGTCCCTCCTCTCGCAGTGCAGGCCCTGCCTCCTCCCTAAATTGACCCCGTTCAGCCTCCCCCTGGCATGTAGGAAACCTGAAGCTTGAAGTGATTTTAAATAATGTTGATAACACCCTCTACGGAAAGAATTCCCAAACTCAAGGGGCCCTCCCTCCCTTCTTGGAAGGTTGCTCCCTTCATGGAGCTTGGCCTCAGTGCACAGGCCCAGAGGCCCATGGGTAGATGGGCTTATGGCAGGGAACCAGAGCCTGGTAGGGAACCAGAGCCTGGTAGAGGACCAGGCTATTGCCTTTACCTAACTCTAGCTCCCCTTTCCCAAAGGCCTGGCACCAGGGAACCCAGACCGGGCATCCAGATGTACTCAAGGCTGGGGCCCACTTTGGTGCCCTCTGAGGCTGCATGCTATGCCATCCTTTCTCCTCAGGGCAGGCATGCCCTTGAGGCCCTCCTCTCTGCCACAAAGCCCTGTTTGGTGCTGCTCTGGGCACCAGAAGGGTACTCAGGGTGGCCAAGTCAGCACATTGTGAAACAAACAGCAAGAGAGATGCCTGGGCCTCAGGGCAGGGCTGCTCAAGGTCACTGACAAGGACAGTCAGGGCCTTCTCCCTGTACCCCACCTTAGAAGTTGTCTCCAAGGCCTCAGAAGCCTCCACTCTGTTATGGTGGGTGAAGGGGCTGGCCATGGGTAGGCACCTCCTACAGATTCTCCAGGCCAGTAATCTCCCACCCAGATGGCACAGAGGGGCCACTGTTCAGCCACCTGAAGGGCCCCACAGCCAGCTGTGCAGTGGGGCCTGCTACTCCTTATAGCCAGGGTGGCTTGGGGTGGGTCACCCAGCCAGCAAACCTCTGAGGCTGGATGTGAACCTGAGCCTCCTAAACCTGAGCCTCCTAACTGGCTGGCTGGGCAGCTGAGCCCTATACAAGCTGGGGCAGGGCAGATGAGAGAGGAGTCAACAGAACAGCCTCAGGCCAGCAGAGGAGGGGAGGAGGGGCTGCCTTGCGGCCTTGGTGCACAAAGTGCCTGATGACATTGGTCTCCAGAAACCCTGCCAGGCCCTGCGGAGCTCTCTCCAGCTCCCTGCTCATATTTCAGGTGCAGAGAACGCTGGGCACATGTGCACTGGCCTCCTGGCAACTCTGGGTGCTCTGCAGAGGCGGCTGCTAGGGCTTGGCCCTGGGGTGCAGGCCTCAGAGTGCCAGACTAGAAAACCAGGAACACTCCTCACCCAGCAGGCTGAAGTGACAGAGCGACAAAGACCACACTTACACTATGCACTTACTGGGGTTTCGACCCCAAGCAGGACTCCAGAGCCATTGATCCCAAAGGGAAGCCTGGCCCTGCCACCAAGGGTTCCCCAACTCCCACTCAGCCCTTACGACCCTGTTAGCTGCTGCCTCTGCTGCAGGTAGACATATGCTCCTGATGGGTTTCCTCAGGAGCCAGCCTGCACTCGTGTCTGCAGCAGCTGCTTCCTGGGGGCTCCGACTCTGGTCCCCAGGCAGATCTGCTGTAACATGGGCTTTGTTCACACAGGCCCAGACTCCTCTGAGCTGGGGAAGGAGGCCCAGTTAGGAGGCAGGTTGCCCATACCACCCAGCTCTTGCAAAGGCCTCTCCCTTCCTGTGTCTGAGGTGGGTGTGGAGTGCTGTTGGAGGTTGCACTGGTGTCCCAGTACTGTTTTACTTCTTCAGGGCAAGAATACTCTCTTGAAAAGCACAGCTACCTACTCAGACCACACCTCCCCATGAGCCCTCTGTGCTGTGCTCGTATCAGATGTGCCAGGCCCCATCCCTCGGCCTCAAGGACATATATATCTACAGGTCTCCTTTCAGGATTCAGAACAAGCTGGCTCTTGCCAACCATATACTGGCCATAAGGTTGAACAGCAAGCTCTGGAGTCCTAAGCAGGATGGTCCACATCAGAGAGCCAGGCTTGGACACCCCAGGAGCCTCCCTTGCCGGGCCCTTGGTTAGCCTTCCCAATCAGCACAAAGAACACAGACACATGAACAGAAGCCCAAACAACTATATTTTCACATCACTGCGGCTCTTAGTCCCCCAGGGCAAGGGGAACGGCCAGAGAGGAAGTCCTGTGCCAGCCCCCCAGCCATCCTGCTCCCACCAATGTGTGCCCATTCAAACCCCCAGGACGACCCTGCAGCTTACTACGCAGGCTTTAGTCCATACACTCCTTCTGACCCTTCAGGCCTCTGTACTGCTGGGGCATGAGGACAGGTGAAGTGGCAGAGCCTGGTGTGGCCTAGGATGGGCAGAGGAACCTCAGGTGGGCCAATTTCCAGGGAAGGATAGTCTGTTGCGGGGCGGGGTCCCCTGGGATGCAAACTGGGCCATCACCAAGCCCATGCTGGGTCTTCCTAGTGAGTGAACAGATCCATACACTGGACCGGTCTCCAAAGTCCTCAAACAGACCGGCAGTGTTTCTGAGTCCAGGGAGGGAAAGCCACGTGACAGTGACGGGCCCAGGGCCTCCACAGCCATGTGGCGAGTGTGGAAGTGTGCAAGTGTGAGTGGGGAAGGGGCTGGAGGGCTGGGGGCTGTGTAGCCTCCTACTGGACTCCGGGCCATTTCTCCACCACTGGACAGAAGTGATCTAGAGCTTGGCAGCCTTGGCGAAGCCCACTCGGTTGTTGTCTCGGTCGAAGACGGTGTAGTAGCTTCCAATGAAGACGTCACCCAGGATCCAGAGAGGCCCGCTGGGCGGGGGGATGTCCATGCCCATGAAGCCACTCAGGCAGACGGTCTTCCCACCTTGTGACACCTGCACAATCATGGTGGTCAACACAGGCCTGTCCACCCCATGTCCAGCCCTTAGCATGCTGCCCATACCCACTCACCTTGAGAACATAATCATCTGGGCCCAGGGCATAGTCACTGCCTCCAAGCTTCAGGGTGACCGAGGGCAGGCTGGACACCTTCTCACAGGGGATCATATACTGCAAGAAGAGAGGTGTGTCAGCTGTAGCTCCAGAACTCCTTGGCCACCCACTGGTCTACCTGCCCTCCTGCCACACTCACCTCGCCCTGGATCAGTGGCACAGCCCCAATAGCCTTCTGTAGCTCCTTCACTTCATCCACAGGGCCCACGAGGAGGGAGGTGCCTGTGTCCACAATGGCCTCACAGCCCCCCTTGCATAAATTCAGCCCGTTGCCCACTTCTAACCTGGGGGCAGGAGGGCAGAGAGGAGCTTGGTATCATAAGGAATATAGGTAATGCCCTGGTTCAGCTATAGACCCTGCTCAACCCTAAAACCACAGTGCAGCAGGTGCTGTAGTCTAGATAGGCCAAGAGAGGGCTTGGCCACACTGCCCCATGTGCTACCCTTGCCCTAGAAGTATCCCAACTCACTGGTCCATGTGGATCTGCCAGTAGGCCTTGCGGGTGACGTTCAGGTAGGCAAAGGAACCCTTGTAGTACTTGCTGTCAATGCCGCCCAGCATCAGCTCCCCGCCAGGTTGTGCAGTCGGGTCCCTGGAGGAAAAGGCAGCAAGCAGTCAGGACAAGCAGCCCCCAAGCAGCTGCCACAGGACTGTGTGCACCAGGAGAGGGAGGCAGGAGATGGGATTCTGAAGGAACAAGACCCAGAGAGGGAAGGCAGCCACTGTCTCCTTCCTGAGGGCGGATGCAATCCCACACTACAGAGCCTGGGCCTGCAGGAGCAAGCTGGCTGGAGCTCTGAGGACCTGAGGCTTAGCCACGGGTGGTCAGATCAATGCTGCAGGACAGACAGAAGTGTCAGAAGGCCAGACTGGGGGTGGGGGATGGGGGACTGGTCCTGCCCAAGAAAGAAACCAAGGAAAGCTTCAAGGCGGGGTACAACTCTGAGAAGTTGAGGAGGTAGCCTGTTTCTGCTCCAGGGCTTTTGCATTTGTTCCAGAACCAACCTATACCTTGTGAGTGCCTCTGAATCTGTTTCTCTCCCCTCCCACTCTACTCTCTTACCTGGACTCCTACTACAGCCAGCCAAGGTGCCCCTGAGTGCAATGTGAGCTACTTGCTCAGGCTTTCTGTAGTCTACAGCTGGGAGGCTGGAAACTTTTTTTTTTTTTGAAACAAAATAATGGAGGAGGGGCCGGGGAGATGGCTCAGTGGAATAAGTGCTTCCCTGGCAAGCACAAGAGCCTGAGTTCAATCCCTGGTTCCGCAAAAAAAAAAAAAAAAAAAAAAAAAAAAAAGGGGAAAACCTGAACCTTAACATGCAGTGAATCCTAAGAAAAGATGACTGTCATCTTCCTGGGGTGTCCCTGACCGCACTTGCCACCTTCCTCCTGGCTGGTACCTGTTCAGAAGCCCTGTCCTCCCACATGTGGCTTCTCCTGCCTCCAGCCTTGGCCTCCTGTCATCATTTCCAAAGTCACAGGTGTAGAAAAACCTGACTGACATCCTGTCCTTCCTCTCTTCCACCCACAAGCCTGTTCTCCTGAGCCCTGGGCCTCTCGCCCTGCTGACTTCACTCCCGCCCCCGCCCAGTAAGCAGCTGGCCCTAGAGACCTGGCAGTCAGAGAAGTGGGTCTCAGCCCTGCAGTCAAACTCCTGGGTCTCTCTTGCCCTAAGGAAGGGAACTCTTTATTTTACCTTCTCCCCTGCACTTCCCGGGTGGGGTGACCCAGGGAAATAACTTCAGCTTTTCACCTGCGCCCCCACCTCTTACCAGCAGCTCTGCCCAGAGCCTTGCTGCTGAGAAACAATCACTGGCCCAGCAAGAAATAAAGGAACAGATGCTGAGCCAAGGGTGGGGACAGACAAGGCTTGGCCACAGCAAAGCTCTGGGTAGGAATTATGCCAGAAGAGCCCCAGGGCTCAGGGTCAGGGTCCAGACCCACAGCCAAATGGACAAGAGAAAGGCAACCCTGTAATGGGTATATGCAGCCCAGCGACCAGTAGCACCTTGGGCTGGAAGTCACCTGCTGAATTCCCACCCACCTGGGAGGCAGATCCCAGGCAGTGGGGTACCTGACACCCAGCCACCTCCCCATCTGCAGCTCCTGCCCAGCACCAGTGTGAAGAGAGGAACTGAGGCCCCCTGCAAGGTCCACTGATCAGGGGTCTCCATGCTGGGGAGGAGACCCTGTTGAGCTAGCAGGAAGGTCTCTAGTGTTCCCTTTAGGCCACCACAGCTTTGGGAACACCCTGGCAGATGCACACCAGGATTTTGAGTGTGCTCCAACATGTACATCTCGAAGCCAACCTTACGGCCACTTCCTGGGAAGCCCCGTCATAGATCAGGGCTCACGGTTATATCCCCTCTGGACCACCACTAGTCCCAACCAGGACCACATCTATCCTCCCCATAGGAAGCATGAGGCAGACTGAGCCAGGAACTATCATCACCCTAACCATGTCTAGTCCCATAAAAAGAGGCAACAGCAGCTGGACCCAGGGAACAAGGTCCTGCCCAAGCACTTCCCAGCTGCAGACCTTGACAGGACACAGCTTTCTCAGGAGGCTGTTTGCTTATCTGTAAGAAAGTGGTGCATTCATCTCTCAAGACATCATGAGGGGGCTGGTGAGATGGCTCAGTGGTCTAAAGCACCTACCTAGAACAAGCTAAGCAAAGCACAGGGACCACGGTTCAATCCCCCAGCACCACATGCCAGCCAGCTGTGCCCCCTGATGGGCTGAGCTGG